TTCAATTCAATTCAATGGCCTTCGCAGGGGGCGCGCTCGAAATAACTAATCAATCGATCGAAAACTAGAAAATGTACTGAATTGGAAACGCGTCACTTTTGAAATGAGCTCATCAAATCTTTGGAGGAACTCTTGCTACCAGGAAAAACTGGAGCCAGTGCCCAACCCGAGATGGTCTGCAAGTTGAGACATTGGCATGCATCATATTTCCGGATTTTCCCATGCCGTGTAGGGAATTACATCTCAAATGTTTCGCTTGATTCGTCGAATTTTCCTAATCAACTTACGACGTCAAATTTCAACGGACAGAAGTGAGATATGCAATCGATACTAGTAACACCCGAACAAAGCTGACAACGTCTAATTTGGTGTACAAATCGTGTTCGCCTAACCCCTTGTGGGGTCTCTTCGAACAGGGGGCTTCTAGTGGGTTTTTGTTAAGTTGACTAATTAAAGCACTGATGCTGAACACATTAAATAATTTTGAAGATGTGACGTCAATATTTGCAATATATTAGTATGAGACACATGAATTACCAAACCCCGTTAATCACATAAATGATAATATACTGGAAAACATTGAATCAGAAACTTCGAATTGCACTTATATCACCACTAAAGAATAAAGTTTCAGAGGTGATCGTCCTCAAAAACGATATTTTCCTCCGTTTCAACGATTTTATTGCTAAATTTATTTCAATATATTTCAACGAATTAATTGGCAATAACACCTAAATGCTATGAGTCGATCAGAACGCGGCACAAATCAGCAAACCACACGTGCCTAGAAATGGTGTGTATGTCAAAGTAGTGTTTACAGATATACTCGTGCCTAAAGTCGTTTAAATTCAGATCTTATTTTCCAAATTATTGTTCTTGTCTAACGGCTTACATCGTGCTCTTTCACTTCACTTAATTCCTCTCAATTTTACAAACTTGCAACATAGCATGAACTACAACCTGTGTAATTTCTCCTACAATGTGCCAAGCACTTGAAGACAGTGAACAACATTCAAAGGAACTAACCCACAATAAAGACGATAGAAATCAACAAATATCTAGTAGTGTTATATTAGCACATATCTGCTCTATTTGTGACGTTCACGCAATAGAATAATATTATTTTGAACCCGCTAAAATGTTTTCAATCGTGCACAATGACATCTCATTGCTCCAAAAGGAAGTTTGGAAAAGTTCTAACCATAACATATGTACACACGGATATCCGCACGTTACCAGATTGCTAAACTCGTAAGTAGGATTTAATTCAAAGTTTTCGAGTATGTTATCATTTGCGTGGTTCTAGGAACTTAGTGATTCATGAGTCCCATACTGTATATTTTGCCGATATTGACGACAAATCTTCGAAATTTTTCAATGAATTCAAATACATAATCAAATTTGTTCTTTCCGCATGTAATTAGTGCGGATTGAATGTCTCAGTTCTCTTGACCGTTGATCGGCTGGTCTGGTCGGTAGTTTTTTGTGGTTTCACCGATCAACACCAGGTGAATGCCTACCATAACAAGCGGTCTACAGACCGCGCACCATCTTTCTTTCCTCTTCCTTGTCCTATCCTCACTACCCTACACATATTTACACTCACACGCACTACACTACCACACATGTCGGAGGGCCAGTTGGAAGGATAGAACTTGTCCTGGGGCGATACTCACTGGTGGGAGATACCTGGTTGAGGAAAATCTCGTCAACCGATGGTAGTTCAATGCCGAATCTCACCATCCAGTGAGAGAAGATAACCGCCACCCTCCGAGGAAAAACATGCACTACACTTACGGGAGCCGTTGACGTGCAACAAGACACCAACCACCAATCAAACAAGTCATGTTGAATAATTTAGCCATATCGGTCAAGCGACAGAGAGAGAGAGAGAGAGAGAGAGAGAGAGAGAGAGAGAGAGAGAGAGAGAGAGAGAGAGACGGACAAAGGGAAAGAGACAGAGAGAAAGTGAAATCATTCGTTCGTTTAAGCCATCATTCGTTCAAACGAAAAAAACATCATTCGTTTAAAATGCTTTAAAATCAGTTTTCAAATTCATGATTAAAGTTAGGTATAGCACGTTCATTAAATTATCGGTAACAATTTACCTGACAAATTCAGACATCTTGCGTCTACATTATGTATTAAGTTTATATTTCACTCCCTGAATAATTATAATGCAATTGAGCAGGTAGAAAATAAATATTTTTAAAAAATGACTGTATTCCTCTAATAATATTCGAATCTGTGTCATCGGTACTCTTTTGTTGCAGCTGATGTGGAACATGTGATGCACAGAGAAGAACTGGGAACGCGCACTGGAATGGTGAGTTACAAAATTTCATATTTGTTTATTTATTTAACAATTTTAATCAAACCATTAAGAATAGAGATTGGAGTCAGCTAAATGCTGCTAAAATCCAGTTTATGAGAACAGTGAAAATGTGCAAGAGAGAAGATATACTAAAAAACACGGAAATCAGAAGTGAGTTAGATATAATTTCCTTTTGCGAAAAGATAGAACAGTATAGACAACTGGCGAAAGCATGTAAATAGGATGAAAGATATCCTGAAAGATGAATTATATCCAAAAGCTACATACAAATACATTCCGAAAAGAAGAGACGTGAGAGTGGTCTGCAAACCGATGGAAAGATATTATCAAGAGGTCGGAACAGAAAAATGCATAGACCATGAAGTGAGGATGATGATGATTTGTAATAAGATTTAAATGAAAGTCATTTTTTTCATTTTCATTTTGAAGCATTGCCGTTTAGTATAGAAATTCATTTTATGTTATGACAAAACGAAAGGACCCATTTTTATGTGTCTTTTTTCTGCACTTTTCGTTGATTTTTACCAATAAGTCATTTTTTTTACTTTTTGTGTCATTTTTATCGACACTTTTTACTTTATTTTTTCAATTTTATTATCATTTTTATGGCACTTGCTTCAAACAATATTTACGAGGTGCAACAAAAATTCACACCAAAATTCGTGAGTAGCCTATTCAATTTCTTCACTCATATATTGTAATGTCAGTCAAGAATACTATGTAATCTGAGGTTCCTGTGGCGCCTATTGGGGCCATTGTCAGTTTGGCCGATTTCGTCATAGATAAAGGCAGAGATTTTCTTTTAAAGGACAGTCCATACCAAAAGTTTGCGAGTTGAGTTCACTTAAACAAAAGGAAGAAGCCTTTATTAGATCAATAACATACACAACAGCTTCAGTTGTTAATGTGATGTGGTTTTTATCAATTGTTTACGTTTTTTCTTTGTTTTTTAGAGCATTTTTAAAGCATTTTAAGAGCATTTCATTGATCATTTTTGACGACATGTCAGGTCATGAAAATCCACCCCGTAACGATGATGATGATATTCATTTATTACCTTTATTGTTTAAATATGTTGAGGAGGCCTGAAAATCCATCGAATTCATTTGAAATGAGACAGCACTAACGTAATTGATTTCTTTCCCGATTTAATTACGATTCAATGTCTAATTATAAAACCATACCTTGAATCTGTAACTCCAATTCACTTTAAAATTCATTCATACTCATTTTAATGTGCGTCATCACACATTAATAAAACATTATTATTTCTTGTGGATAATAGAAACAATTTATTAGAACTGAAGCAGCTATGTACATTTACCGTTTGCAAAAGAATCTGAAACACAAATGACTCATCGGGGAAAACTGAATGAATAGGACTTGCCGTCCCAATGCCGCTCCTTATTTTGATGCCATATGGCACAGCGGGATTAAGAACGAAGGCCCCTCACTCTTCCGGTTGAGCCTATTTGTCGGGCAACAAAGAGCGGTCGACCAGAGTGTACATGAACGTTTCAGCCGCGGTTTATACTTGCTACACAA